GCGGTCTCTGGGCGAGAGGCGCTCCTCCCTGTGAGCCGGCGCTGCTTTTCTGTGCGCGCGTGTGCATGCGCGGCTTGTGGGCCGAGGGACGGGGGGGGGGGCCTCCCTCCCAAACCGGTAGTATTTCCTGCCCCCTATCCCCTACCCCTTGCAGTCAGTATCGGGGTGTGAAGGGGGGGCGAGAGATCGGCTTCGGACCGAAGAGGAAGGAGGCTCCCTTTCAAGAAGGGGGAGGATTTCTCGTGAGGAGTGGGGAGGGGGTGGGAGTGGGAGGACGGACTCTGGGCTGATTCGCATTCCCTGCTTCGTGGTGGGACCAAGTGTGAATGAGCCCCCCCTCCCTCCCAAACCGCTGGTATTTCCTGCCCCCTATCCCCTACCCCTTGCAGTCAGTATCGGGGTGTGAAGGGGGTGCGAGAGAAGGGCGCAGGGAGGGGTCTCCGCTTCCCTCCCGATGACTCCCCCATCTCTCTTCTCTCCCGCCATCCCCCCAGCGCATTTCCTGTACCAGTCGACCGCCGAGTGTTACTTCCAGTCCAACGGGAGCGAGGCCAGATCGGGGCCAACCCCGCCTCCTCCGCGGGTGCGCTTCCTCGAGCGCCACTTCTACGACCGGCAGGAGATCGTCCGCTTCGACAGCGACCGCGGGGAGTTCGAGGCCGTCACGACCCTCGGGGAGCCCGACGCCGAATACTGGAACAGCCAGAAGGACCTCCTGGAGGACGCGCGGAGGGCCGCGGATTATTTCTGCCGCCACAACTACGGTCTTGCGGAGAGCTTCGCCTCGGGGAGGAAGAGTAAGCGGGTGCCCGGCGGCGGGAGGGCAAGCGGGGCAGGAGGGAGCGTGAACGGGGCAGGGAAGGGGAGCACCCCTGGTCCCCAGACCCGTGGGGCCTGCCGGCAGCCCCCTCCGGACAAGGACAGGGAAGGGAAATAAGTGGCGGGAGGAGCTCCTTTCTTACCACTGTGGACCAGACAGAACATTCATTTATTTCTCTATTCATGTATTTAGTCAATATAAATACCTCCCATTGAGCAAAATGACACTGTGGCCAGTGTACAACGAATTAAAATAAATTGAATTAATTTAATGTAACCATTATACGTGATATTCTGATGCCATGTATCAATGTTTGCC